GGCTTATTAGCTTCTGTGCTGCTTATTTACTGTATAAAGCCATAGGCTACCATAGAAGCAGTATTTTGGAATTATGGTTATATTTAATGCTTTTTTTCTGGTATTGAGGATGTGAAATTGATGTCCTGACTGAATGAGAGTGATACCTTATGGCTCAAACCCTAAAACATTTTTCTCTTTAATGGCTCATTCAGGGTATGCCAAGCTTTTGATTGACAGCTAAATTCTCCGGTGTAGCCAGAGGAGAGGCAAGGGCTCAGCTGGATTGTTTTCCGTGGCTTAGGTTCCAATTCCCAGCTCTCCGTTTGGCAGAAGGGATCCACTTTGCCATCAGTAAACTGTGACCATGTCTCAGGGCTCTGATCTTTTAATGCCTAGTCCCAAGAACTTTCCATTTGGAGTCACTGATCCAAAACCGAAAGGTAGTTTTCACCGTGTTTATATAAATTGCAGCCCACAAAGCAATAATTTGAGTTACAGGTCTTGTCAGAGGCATCATCAGTCTTTTGCTTTCAGCTATGTGGTAATGCACTCGACTCGGGTCTTGCTTAGAGTTGTGGGCCATGAGCTATATTAACAGAAGGTGAACATTGTTTCTCTCAATATTTTTTATTTCCTCAAATAACCATTGGGACTGAGCTGCACATTTTTGCCAGATAATTGGAACTTTGCTGGTTAGTGCAAAGCTGTGGCTGCTTATCACATCATATAGTGTAGATACTCTTGGAAAGGAATAAAGGATAATATTATGGCTATATTTAGATTGATTGTTATAAATGAGATTTATTTAGTTAATTGTGCTTTGTAAGATATCTTTTTCCAGTCCTTCAGTTGAAATTAAGCATGAAGCCCTTCAATGGGTTGCAGAGTGCCACAGACTTTCCCCATAAGGCTCTTGCTGCTGAATATCAGCTACTTTGTAAAAAAATATGTAAATTTCACCACTTTTTTACAGCTCAAAAGCTTGTTAGAATGTGATGAATGGAGAAAAAAAATCAATGCAATGCAAATTTTGAGCGGGGGGAAAAAAACGTTGAGGGGAAATTTCAGCCGCATCTTTGTCTGACAATATGTTTATACAAATGTGTTAGTTCAGTGGTTCGTTCAGTGTTGCCTTTGAATAATTAAGTGGGCGGAATTAATTTCATGGATTAATGCGGCAGAAATAATATAGCTTATATTTATTGTTGCAAATTTGTTATAAATGTGGTTGCTGTTTAGATAGCTAAATATGGCATATCTAGACTGAATCTTTTTGCTAAGTTTCATGCGGACGCTAAACGGGTCTTAATGATTTCATGAACAGGGGTGTATCTTTTTGAATAGCCTACTATAACAGCTAAAAACAGGACACGAACATTCAGAAAATCATTTAAGATTGAAATGAGGTTTTAAGACTCTTCAATGTTATAAAACACGTGTGCTGCTGACAAACACGGTGTAAGAAGCGGAAATTAAGCTAATCTCCCAATGTTTATTTTGGCTCCAGAAAGGAAATTATGTGGTGCAGCAAACAGGATTTGTCCTTTGTTTCCCATCATATTTCAGCAGAAGTGTGTCTGTTAAACAGCCCCTGGATTACGTGGAGAACACCTTTACGATGCAACACCAACAACCCGTCCTGTTCAAACCTCTTTCTTTTAGCCAGCTAGGCAGGGGTCCAGTCGCCCTGACCACGCGTGCCAATTCCCCCTAACCTTTCCTCACTCACAGTTGTGCGCCACACAAACAACTCTCTTCACAGCAAGAGACTGAAGTGCACTCTATCAGTTTGCCAAGTGCACTTTATCAGTGTGTCGGCCCGAAAATCAAAGGCAGGTCATTTGTCCTCAGGCTGCACATGTTTACTTTCAGTTGTTGTTCTCACACACGCACCCACACAAAATATATACTGAAATTCAAGCAACTGATATACTGAAAAAGTCAGTCCAACAACCAATGTCGTGCTGGTGAGTTTTGCACTACTTGCATGTACTTCACAATAATGTATAAATCAATCTCGATATTTTTTTTCGTTTAGCTTTCTGGGTAAAGACAGGACGTCACACATACTTTTCATGCAGAGAGAGCATCTGACTGCAACAGTTCGACTAGACTAATAGTGTCTCTGATGCTGTTATGAAAGATTGCTAAACTTGGCAGTGTCGTGAAATTTTTTTTGCCTCACCATCTGTGGTGTTTTCTTTTCTTTCTCCTTTTCTTAAAGCTCTCCTTTCTGTCAATAATGTCGTTTAGTGCTCTGAAATTGATTTGTCCCAGGGACATTCAGTGGTTTAATAATGACTAAGCAAGAAAAACTCAAGACCAGACCAGGACGTGACAAGATTTTACTCCTGGATCATTTTGCCATCGTCAAACATTGTTGTCTCCATCTCTCATGCCATGCTTTAGATTGTAACACAGTGGAATTTTTGATATCCATTAAACACACTCTATAACTCGGGTCATTTAGTCTATCTCCGGGTTTGGGATTGATTTGCGCCAGCCAACAGTCAGACACCAAAATGGCATTTAGAACTGTTTTTTTCTGGGGCAACTAGCCACCTTCTCCTCCACCCGGGGTCCAGAATTAACACTTGCCAAACAGTAAATACATAGCCTGGATGCCAGCCCGAACTCCGCCCACAACATTTTTTGGTCGGGAAGTTCGGTCTAGACTCGATCCATTGAGGAGTAATTATGATCAGGCAAAAAATTATCGGGCCAATCAGATTGCCAGGGCGGGCTTTATACGATGATGGACCGATGATCTGCAGGGACGTAATCATCACGTTATCAAAGAGCGCTAACTGGTTTCTCTCAGAGATGACTGCAGCTGGAGAATTGAGATGTATAGATTTTGCTGTCGCGTCTGTTTTTAAAATTAATCGACAGCGCATTAATTTTAATAGACAAACAGAAAACTGCAATCAAGGCATTTGTCGATCGGAAAGATATTCGGCAAAAGTGTAACTTATCAGCTGGCTCTGACGGTCGCTAAGTTAAGAAGATGGGACGTAATGAAAAGCATGTGGTCGTTGTGGTTTCTCCTTTGGTCGCACTCATGAAGGACCAAGTGAAAGAAGCAACACTCGTTATTTTACTTCTAAAATAAGTAAGTTCTGTTTTTGACAACTATGCTATACATTAGTTATTGTGAACTAGCAATTAACCCATTAATAGGTTCTATGCATGAACCCTGCTGACGTATATCCGATAGGATCTCAGCCAGCTTCTTTACTTCCGCATAGCACGTTCTGCAGGCAAAGTGTATAGCGGCAAAACTTTAATAAAATTCATTTTCTCAGAAACAGTGACAACGATTTTAGAAACTGATTCGCTAGTCGGATTTCGCATGATATGAGAGAACACTCACCCTCAAAGTTGTCGATGTAGCTTGAAATATATAAGCCCTTCTCTTTTTTACTCTTATGTGTGACCGCTAACTGCCTCACAGTGTTGTTAACATCATTCACGTTAACCACAGGAAGTTTTTGTAAACAGCAAGTGTAATTTGCCACTATCTCCACCTATAATGCAAAACTGGCTTCTGACGCAGCACCGGATGTGCATATCGTGCACGGGCGATCGTGCATAGGGCCTATTACCCATTAATACAAATGTGTACAACTTGAAATATATAATTGTGGAAAGAACATTTAACATATCAAAAAATATTTTTAAAGTGTTGTATTAAAAATCATGAATTAACATAATTCGTCATTTAACCACTAAAACAAATGTATGAGGAACAAAATCCTAATGTATCTGTCTTCGTCACAGTTTTACAGAGTGACACTATATGATCTATAAATTGAAAAATATTTTTTTTTTTAGTTTAGAGGTTATGTGTGAGCAGGATCCATGGTCAAAATACCAACAAATCCTTTTGTCATTAATACACAAGGGAAGAAGATAGAAATATATATTGTTTATAAAAACTATGCAAAATACAGTTTAATGGACATTAAGAATATTTATGGCATACCATTTGCAAAATCATAATTTTCGACTTTGAGTATTTGTTTTTGTGTTTTGTGCGCTGCGCACCATTAGGATCTCTCCGTAGGGGGGACGTCAGTTGGAGGTTGGCCGCCCTCTCTGTGAGAGAACGCAACCAATGGCCTGCCGAGCGCATGAAGCTTCAAGGGATGCCTTTTTCGGTTTTATTGCCATCCTTCCCTTTTGTGTGCGACTGCCACATCGCCAAACAAGCCCTAGCGTTTTGTTTTAGTCATTTTGTTGTTCAGCTCATATGTCATGATATTCATCTCTCCACAACATTTTCACATGCCTTTCTGCTGCTTTTTCCTCTCCCTCCCTCTATCGCCCTGTCTTTTTGTATCCTCCCCCCCCCTTATTCCTCACTTCTCTTGTCTCCACAAGCCTCTGTGGAAAGAGCAAGCACATGTGGGGGTGGGGAGGAATCACAGCTGAATTAGTTGGTTCTCTCCGATTGGTTGAGAGGCTGGGTATTGTAGGTAGGGTGGAGAGAGTGGGGCGGGTGACATTTGTTTATTACATATTTCCCCCCTTCTCTTATCTTGTGTTATCACGTCAACGGCTCCTCCTATACAAACATAAAATTGACAGTGGAGGGGAAGTAGCGGGCTCACTGTATACAAGGGGAGGGTGTGTGTGTGTTTGTATATGTGTGTGCTGTCTGTCTGCCTGAGAAAGAGAGCCATTTAATTTGTGGAGTGAGCAGGGGTATGCGTCAGTTCGTCCACCGTATCCTAGACACTGCCGATGCCGCGTCCACAATCTGCTCAACGTCACGGTTTCATCAGGCAAGAGGGGTTGGCGTTCGGCGACGCCGCCACCAGAAGAGAGAGACAGGCAGAGAACGAGAGAAAAGCAAGGCAGCATTGGTGCACTGATGCCTGTGCGCGTGTGTGTTTGAGTTGTCTGTGTGGGGCTGCCGGCGGTCCGCTGCTCCTTAGTTACTCTGGCTTCTTGCTGCTGCTGTACGTCCTTCATCCTATTTGCCTCTGACACCATGATATTTTGTAATCACTTAGGTGAATACAAGAAGGACGAACTCTTGGAAGCTGCGAGGTGAGTATATGCCTTCTCAACCTTTCCTCATGTCATTTCCCTCTCTCGCATGATTCCATCCTCTTCCTTCCTCCCTCCCTTGCTGTTTCCATAGACACTGTTTTTCTTTTGTCTGTGCACATGGATATGAATTAAGGCATGTGTCGGAGAAGGTGCTATCAGGACTGTGACTATCTCACTCAATGGATGTATTTAATACGTACATGTGATGGCCTGGAGGAGCCCACTTGCTACACAGAGGACTGCCCGAGAGTTTCCATTTAGCTGTATGCCATGGGCAGAATGCTTTATTCCATGTGGTGAATTCGGTTTTAATTGGTTTCCGAGTGCTGCAGGTGAAACCAGAGGAGGAGGATGCGAAAGAGACAACTTCACATCCTACCTGTTGTCTGGGGAAACTCCATCTTAACAAACACCTGATTGTCACCGTAGGACACCTAGCAATGGAGAAACAAGACTGCCTTTTGAAACACATGACATGTAGGCAATCCCAGCAGTCATCATCTTTTCGTTACAGAGAAAAGATGTTCATTTTCATACTCTGGTCTACATCTCCATTGGCCTTACCCCCCCCTTTTTATACCCCTGCCTTCAGGCATAGCCCACAGCATGGATACAAATCAGGGCTCTTGTTGTTTTAATGATCAAGAGAAAAAGGAACTACAAGGGCCTTGTAATTCTCTCCAACATTAGGAAGAAAGATTGCTAGGAACACATGATCACAGGGGGCTTCATTGTTGTGGAATTAGCCCACCCCCCTTTAAGGATGGCACGAGTAACGCTATAAATTGAGAATCGTTTTTAGAGACTATCAGAATGGAAAATGGACGATGCAGATAGATAACTATTTGGAAGAAAGTCGGGTTTGACTTATGGCCTGTGCTCTGTGCTCTTCTTAGTAGTAATCTCCCGAAGACCAGGATGCCTCTGCAAACGCATCAAGATTGATGACACCCTCCCATTCCTTGGCCTCTCTTCCCAGTTGTAATCTCCCAGCCAGCCCTATTTTTCCATGTTGGTGGTGGGTTGTGCATTTTAAATGGAGTAACTTATGTTGAAGCCAGTTATCTGCAATTACTGACAGGAGGATCCAAGAGCAACTGGGGAGAAACAAACTCTGCTGTTTATGCAAGGTTCTGGCAAAGCTTGTCCTGTAGGAAAGTCTCGGACTTAGGTCTGCTATTGCCATAGAGTAGTTGCCTTCAAGACCCCGACAGTTTCCAAAGATGGAACGCTCGACGTCGACATGTTTCAGCATAGGAGCACAACCAAATTGTTCGGCAGCTAATATATCTCCTTGCCATTGTTCATCTTTTGATTAGAGTGGGATCGGGCCTATCTCAAGCCACAGATTGGTCATAGCTGTGGAAGGCCTGTCAAGTTACGGCTCACTCCAGTTACAGCAGGAACTTTGTATAGGATATCCGCAATAGCCACTCCTATGCATATGATACATTTACATTGAAGTTACCCTGTCGGTTTCTTCTTTATGTTCCATGCAGTAAATTGCCATAATTATAGATGCTGTTTGTCTTATGTCCTCCTTTCTTGACTATGACTTTTATTCCCCAATCTCTCCTTTTGTCCTTTACTCCTTCACTCCTTATCTTCACTGTGAAATACATTGTTGGCTTATTCTTTTTTTACTGTTCCCCAATGTTCTTTAAAAACTGCTGCTTTGCTTCAGGAGCGGAAATGAAGAGAAGCTCATGGCCCTGCTAACGCCATTAAACGTCAACTGCCACGCCAGCGATGGCCGTAAGGTAAGAACTTTCACTGCATCATTAACATTTGACCACTGTTTGTGAATACTCCATAGAACTGTTAATATTCTCCTTCTGACAAACTTCAAAAACCGAGTCAAGGTTAGATGCCATATTTCATTTACATAAATGAAAACAAGCTGTTTTTTTTTCCTTGTGGAAATTGTAGTTCCAACCGAAATGCAATTGTTTTTAAGTCAACTGGTGAGACAATTACTTCATATGCATATTTCATTAAATATGGTGTTTTCTGTGACTAAGCTTCATTGAGAAAATTGTATTTTTGGATTCATTGGGTTAATTTTGCAGTTGAAAATAAGTTTTATCATCAAATTAAAAGGAAAAATGAATGCTGAGCGTTGGGTTTAAAGCTGAAGCGAAGAAGTCGGTAAACATCACTCTTATGTAATTGGTTCATAATTAATCAAGTAGATAACTCAAGTAATTTATGTGGAACTGCCATTTAATTAGACTAGTTTTTGCTGCTGCTGTTGTTGTGCATGAGTGTTGCATTGGTTCCAAAATTAAACCAAACCCTCAGGTTTTTACAAAGATATACTGCATTTACTTGCAACAGGCTGCAATACACTCTTTGTGTGTAACATGAGCTTAATTTAGTTTATTTTACAGTGTCCTTGTTACACATTTTACATGTAGTTTCCATTGTAATAACTATAAATTATGCATAATTACCAGCAATTAAACCTAAACCAAACCCTTATCCTTACCCTATAGTAAAAACATGTAGTTAATTATTTTTACTCAGTGTTACTTAAATGTATTACTCTGAATAATACAGATACCTTAAAATAGATATCTATTTTTTAAATATCTATTTTTTTTGTCTTATATATCCATTTAAATAATACTTGTATGCAATTCATCAGCAGCCCATGTTAGACTGTGTACAACGTCTTCTTCTCCATCAATATTTGTCACTGAGGACAAGATCGGAGCAGTGAAATGGTGACAGAAGTGTGTCCTAATCTCTCAGTGAGATCAAGGGCTTGATTTAGAGGAATTACTCTCAGCCGCTTCTGCATGTAGTCCTCATGCATATTTATTGAATATTGACTGATTTCCCAAGCGTGCAACACAAAATGTTTTTTTTCCCTGCTTTGGTAAACATTTTGAGAAGAGTCTGGCTGCAGATATGCACTCTCAGCTCAGATGCACTGTCTGTGACATCATTTCTGAAAACTGTTTAACAAAGATTTATTACATAATAATTCTCCTCATTCAACTCTTTGCTGTCTATTTTGAATGTGACAGTAATAATTTTAGAAATACTGATGCAGCTTATAAAAGTAATTCTGAAGGATGCTGTGATGATTTTCCAGTTTTTTTTGTTACGGCTGGACAGGAGTAACCAATCATAGTTGTGATTAGAGGCTAAGACATTTTATTAAATCATTTTAAAGAAATTGCTTCATGGATTTCCTTTTGTATGTCAGATAATAATCCTTTTAAGCGTCAACATATGATTTGAACTTTTCAATGAAAAATGTATTTAGTTATTTATTACTAAAATAGTATGCTTAAAAATAGTACAATATAGTGTCTCAAGCATAATTCTAAATAGACCAACTATGGTTACATACATGACAGTGTGTGTTGTGTTTACTAACACGTATATATTGCGTTTCATCATCACATACATTTTTTTTTAGTGTATGAACATCTCATATGAGAGATTTCTTTTTCCCAGTTCCCCTGTAAAGAATGCAATTGAGTTCCAGATATTTCCCGACTCGTGAACATTTTAATGCAATATAGCCATGCACATTTTAAAACGGATATACCAGTGCTGCTTAATGACGTTTATTTTTCAAAATTTATGTCGCAACATAAATTCTCCTTTTGATCAAAAACGTCGGCCATTTCACATTGCACTAAACATCCTCGATTTTTTGAAAGCTCCTTAGATTGAAATTCATCCCTGAGCTTGTTTAACAAGGCTTCTATTCATCTTAAAACAGGTGAGTGGAGTAAAGGCTCACTGAGCATGTGCCTGAGATTGGCTTTTATCGACCCAAGGGCCCATATCTTGCCTCTCTGTGTTAGCAGACCTCTAACAAAGGCTGATGCTCGTCCTCTTAGTTATTTGAGAGTGTGTTTCTATGTGAGATGCTGTCATTATTAAAGGGATTATAGTATTTAGATGCATCTGATCTGTGCCCTCTTGAATGAATCTCAAAGGATTCAACCCACTCAGAATAGATTGGCATTGCATTTCGTTTTTAATTGATTTTGGTTCATGATCTGGAAGAATTTTACAATCACCATGATAATGCTTATTCAAACGCAAAGTGCTGGCGTTTGCATTTTGCCCGGGATAATCTTTATCTCTTTTGGTCTTAATGAAAAAAATGCACTTTCTGGGTCCATCTGCTTTAGTTGGCTGTTTTGCTCTCCCATGCAGCTTTATGGGTGTATGAAGATTAGTCTAAGGTAATGTAAATAGCAGCTTCTGCCTGAATCACAAAGAGACCACTCTTCTGCCTTTTGAATGCAACCCTTTGGTGCACTAGCTACTTTATTAGAAATAGAAAGACACCACTGGAAGAATAGAGCAAAGCAGGTTGTACTAGTTTGATTTAATCTGAGGATACCTTCTTGTGTAGATCCACTGACAAGAGTTTTCCCTATTGTCTAGTTACCGCATTTTATTCTTTATCTTCTCTGCTGTACAGTGAAGAGAGTCCTTGAGATATTCTCGGAAGTGTGTTATTTAGAGCTCTGTCCCTTTAATTTCATAGCCAATTTCTTCCACCTGATACTCCAGCCTCAACCATGAAAAGTGATTTGACTTACAGCGACTGCCAGCACAGCCTTCCTCCACAAAATACCCCCATCCTGTAACTCTGAGGATATTTCGGCTGGACCTCCGCCAAACCCCCATATGGTTGAATTATGTATTCTGTGTTCAGACAGAACAGCACTTCCTTGGTCTTCTGTCCACACATCTCTGCACCAAACAGTGTTTTGTGGTTATAATCCATATTCTGTAATAACTGTGGGTGTATCGATTTTAGATTTCACACGGTTTGGTTTGTATCACTGTTTTCGATCGGTAAATACTTCATATGTTTCAGCTAAGGGTTTAGTGGTTCAGGTTAATTTAAAGCTGTCCACCACAACCTCATATTTTAGCACCCCCAATACTACCGTCATTGGGATTTTTTTTTTTCCTTTTTTTTTTTTCGAAGAGCCTCTTTTAGTGTGTGTATATAAATATATATATATATATATACATTTATGCATGTATTTAACAACATAAAACTGCAGTATTTCCCTACATATTTTTTTCCTCCCGCATATATGTGGCTTGATTGTGTCGTCAACAAAAAAATTCTATAGGGCTTATGCTTATATTGATTGCCTTTTCTTCCTACCAGTAACGTATACATTTTCACACTGAACCAAAGATTTAGTGAATGGCTTTGTCCACCTCTCGTTTCCAAAAGTGTGGGATGTTTGTGTTGATAACGCCATCCTCAGGGCTACATTTTGAGTTTTTGTCACAGTTCAAGCTCAAGTTCAAGCTGCCCAACCAATCGAGCAGGCTGGATTATATTTTTTGAGGATAGAATCATGGCCCTTGTGTTGTCTATAAGCAAAATTGCCATGTGCTGGTGAGGAAGGTCCACTGCAGCATACGTATTGTCCATTCTTACACTACATGGTGCTTCACCACGGTTGTCTTTGTCATGCATAATGCTTTGATATTCTGACTGGAGCATGAAAATACAGTAGACAGACATCCCACTAAGCATTAATTAGCCAATATATCTCCATTCATCATTATATCTTCCCCTCTACTCTGTTGTCAAATATGAGCAACTTTGTATTGATGACAATGGCGTGACTCACTTTCACCCGCTCTCCATTACAAGTGAACCACTTTTCATTTGGTAATTATATATTTGCCTCAGTTGCCATCACGCTCTCAGCCCTGGATCATGTAACAGATGGCCTTTGCCCCTCAATTTATAGCTTGCTGTTTTCCACACACTTCACCTCTCTTGGGATTTTAGGTTATATAGGACATATCATTCATAAAATAATATTGATTTTGTTGTTGTGTTTTTCCCTTCCCATGTTCCCATGTAGAAAGCACATGCGTCTTGTATTGTCTGGAATAAGGTTGCTAGGACAGCATTTCATTAGTCGATACAAATACATCTGATTATCTTCAGATACCAATTTTGAGACGACAGCATTTATTAGTGACTATTATAAAAATATGCACTGCTTTATGAAGTTATTACAGTTAAATATAAAGTGAATTTAAATATTCCTCAAGTAAAAGTGCTTCAAGTATACAGCTCTCATGTTTTTTTGCATTTCAATAAATGCAAATCATATTTTATTTATTTTTAAATATTTATACATCTCTTAATTTGATTCTGCCTAGCATTCGGCCATTCACTTGTTTTAAAATTCATATTAATACCAAATATTTGACATCATCCCTAAGGCTGTGTGTCCACCAAAGTGTTTTCAGCCAGCTGAAAATGCTGAAAGCGCCTTGCTGTGGGTGCATAAGAGGGCTTTGGCAGTGAATCATTTTTTTAATTTGCTTTGCCTGCTATGATAGAGAATATCTGTGTATGTGTTACAAGTATCTGATTTCACAGAGAGTTTGTTTCTGTATAGATTCTATTGAAAAAATGTTGATAAAATGTCAAGTATTTGCTCTGGCTCTTGTTTTAATTTTTTTTGTTCCATTATTATGCTTGTAGTTAACGTTTGTTATTGTTGGTGGTTGGTTGGTGTGCTATTTTTCCCGCCCCTCCTCCATTGGACCGCTATAGGTCAAAAGAGACCATGATGAGAGCTGCGTTTTACCCAAAGTTGAACGTTCATCTACTCTCTGGATCGGTAAAAATGCTGAGCGTTTAGTGTGAAATAGATGCTAAACGCCTCGCTGCCGTTTTAAACGCTCCCAGTGAAAACAATTGGGAGAAAAAAACCCTGCTAGCCTAGGGGAAAAAACG